TACCTGAAAGAATTAAAAAGAATTAATGATATTTTTTTTATGATCGACCGCAGTATATTGTTTATTTTTCTAAACGCGAAGTCTAGGATTAAAATTGGTGTTAGTTTAGAAAGAATGCATTTAAATTTGCAATAATACTTATTGAAACAATCTAATATATAAAGCTCAATTCTGTATGTAACATGTAATAAGTTTGTTTGTCGTGGACATATTTCGATGGATTTAAGTATTAGATTATTATCGTGCTAATTGTCTAAATTTATGAGTTAAAAAATTACTTTTGAAAGTGTTGGGAAATAATTTTCTTTTTTTAAACTGATAGTAATACTTACTGAAACGATTAATGGTATAGTTTGTGTATATCTTTAAACTATGTTTTTTGAATTTTCAATTTGTGGTTCCGTTAAAAACACTAGTTTTAAGCCCACACAATTCCAAAAAATAAAGTGTTTTGAACACACACAAATTTTGAAAATGGATAATGAATAACTTTGAAGAAAAGCAATTAAAAGTTTTAGCTGAGAACCCCAAAATATGATAGAAAATTATGGATTCATTGTTTATTGGGCTTAAAATATATAATCTAATACAGAAAGCTGAATTCTGTATGTAACATGTTTGTAATATATAAAAATAAATTTGTTTGTCGTGGATACTTCAATGGATTTAAATGTTAGATTATTATCGTGCTCATAGTCTAAATTTATGAGTTAAAAAGTTACTATTGAAAGTCTTTAAAAACATTTTTCATTTCATATACTTAGAATAATAATTTTCAGTTATGAACATTACATAAAATTTTTAAAAAGTGTATCAACGTTTATAAAATTTCTAAAATTGTGTCTGAAATGTATTGACTGCACAGTTACTTCCCTTTAAAAAAAAAATGATTAAATCGGGGGAAGAAAGAATTTTCTTTTTATTACTATGATTTGGTGTTAAGAAAAAAAAAATTACATAATTAGCGGGGATTGATTAAGTGCAATGTCGTTGGTATTTTTAATACTGCCTTTTATTTATTCTATACACTGAACATACTGTTCACTAATTATTTTTTTAAATCAATAACATTTAATAAGCCAGGTCCTACAAATCCTATATGTTTACTTCTTTCCATTTACGGATAAGCTTGGAGTATTATAATTGTGTTCACTAAATTGAAACAGGCGCGTCCGCCATCGCCCCTGCACGGTTCGATTTGGCGCCCTGGTCTATCATGTGAGCGCTATGCTGCATAATTTTGTTTTAAACAGTGCGATAGACTATGTATAAGAAAGGTTACTATAGTCTTTGTGTTTGCGTTTGGATTTGTTTTCGTTTGCTTTTTTGTTTGCTTTAGTGTTTGTGTTTTCTTTGTGTTTGTGGTTAAGTTTGTCTTTGCGTTTGATTTTGTGTTTTCCTTTGTGTTTGTTTTGTGTTAGTGTTATGTTTGTGTTTTTTTGTGTGTTTTGGTTGGTTGTGGTTAGAGTGGGCAATGCCTGATAAACGCTGATTACTAAACACACGAGTTATGGTCCTTTACAGATACGTTTTTCAGAGATGCCAGTGCAGGGCCTGGCCGTGACGGCTAGTATTTAATAAATGGTGGAAAACCTACGAAGGAGTTAATTTTTCAAGATAGCCGCCGTTGTCATAGTTACCAAGATTAGTAGAGACTCAAATGCGGATGCACTTTTAAAAAGCTGTAAAGGAATTTTTTTTTTCTAACAAATATGTAATAATTTTCCATTATTACCGGCGCCTACCCCCTTATAAATTGTCAGCAAAGTTTATTTCAATTTTCGTTGAAAGATTTCCGATAACCGGAATCGGTAAGTTGCTCTTTTCTTGTTGACGCGATAACTTGAATATTGTTTTAGTTAGGATGGCGTAAATTAAAATAGAGGTATACAATTTTATACTTGGACTATTTTAAAATTTTGATTGCCTTACAATATCCGTAGGTATTACTTTACACTACTTCCAGTTTCTAAAATACAGATATAATAGTACTGTTTCAGTTAGATCAACGAAATTTTACAAATAGATATAAGATCTTATTCTTTTATAGTGTCAAATTGTGAGTAGCTTCCGAGTAATGAAAGTAGTACTTTACGTTATTTTCGATTTCCCAAAAAAATATCACTTTTACTAAAATGAGTTTTTGCAAACTTTTCACGTAATCCAAGCAAGACTCGTTTAAAATATAATGTGACAAAAAAAGTTGACTTAAATAGATGTTTAACTATCTTTCAAAAATGTATTACAGTTTTTTTTTAAAAGTACTATGTTCCCTTTCAATTACACGTGAAACGTTTACGTTCATTTAATGCCCAATTATTCCTTTACTCAATTCGATATTAAATCATTCAAATATTATTTAGATCGACGTACTCTATGAAATGTAACAATACAATTTTCTCTACCTAAACTTAAAAAAATTACTTTATCTATTCGGATTCTAGATCTAGATCTAGAATTTTTAATCTAGATATTCTTCTAGATCTACGGAAAAACTAGACTTTTAAAGATCTAGATCTAGACCCTACCTAGATCTAGAATCTATTCCAATAATAAATTTCTATACTAAACTATTTCCGGCCTTAATTACTTTATTGAAATCTTTGTTTGTTTAGCAATGCAACTTGCTAATCTATATATATATTTATGTATATATATATATATATATATATAAAGCAAACTTGTCGGGTGCCCGATATGGCACTCCCCGGCGCCACAGGCGCTTAACATTTGGCAGGATCCTGCCTTGAGCCACAGAACAAGGGGGCCGGTGCCGGTTGGCCGAAAAGTCTACGAAAAATTGGTCAAAACTTACATCGACTGACCGGCGCCTTATATGAGCTATATATCAAAAAAATGTCTGAAAACTCTTGGAGATGTACATCTGCGCCAGGGGTTCAGGAAAAACATTTTTCTACCCTCGGGAAAATTCCGGAACAATGTTTTAACTGACCAGAGGCCAAATTTTCTTTTATAAATACAGTACTGTTTTTTGTTAAACAAAATACAACAATCTGGATGTACAAACCCAATCATAACTCCTGGCTCATTTTTTGCATGCAACTGAGTAAATGAATCGGTCTTATGGATATAGTATCGGTCATCCTCTGCTCGCATGGCATGGGCTAAAATGTGACCAGGAGTGAAAATCTTCTTACATGAGCTATACATAAAACTAAATTGCCGAACGATCCCCCTGATATTTTGTGTGATAGTAGACCGACCCTGGAGGGTAGCAAAAAAGAACTTTATTCCCCGTCGGAAAGAAACATTATGGTTGGTCGTTGAAACTTAACAGCCAATCACTACTTAATTGAGCATTCAAATTCTCAACGTTTATTAAAACCTAAGCGAAGCTAGGCAGCATGCCCAGTATATATATATATATATATATATATATATATATATATATATATATATATATATATATATATATATATAGCCATTAAGGCTATTGGGAAGAACAAATCAAATTGCCCCTATAATAACATGTAGGTGTTAATTATAAGGTTTCTTGTCCTCTGGTCTTAACAATTTCTTTACACACACACACACACACACACACACACACACACACACACACACACACACACACACACACACACACACACACACACACACACACACACACACACACACACACACACACACACACACACACACACACACACACACACACACACACACACACACACACACACACACACACACACACACACACACACACACACACACACACACACACACACACACACACACACACACACACACACACACACACACACACACACACACACACACACACACACACACACACACACACACACACACACACACACACACACACACACACACACACACACACACACACACACACACACACACACACACACACACACACACACACACACACACACACACACACACACACACACACACACACACACACACACACACACACACACACACACACACACACACACACACACACACACACACACATTTTTTTTTTTAAATTTATTTATTTATTTATTTATTTATTTATTTATTTGTTTATTTATTTATTTATTTGTTTATTTATTTATTTATTTATTTATTTATTTATTTATTTATTTATTTATTTATTTATTTATTTATTTATTTATTTATTTATTTATTTATTTATTTATTTATTTATTTATTTATTTATTTATTTATTTATTTATTTATTTATTTATTTATTTATTTATTTATTTATTTATTTATTTATTTATTTATTTATTTATTTATTTATTTATTTATTTATTTATTTATTTATTTATTTATTTATTTATTTATTTATTTATTTATTTATTTATTTATTTATTTATTTATTTATTTATTTATTTATTTATTTATTTATTTATTTATTTATTTATTTATTTATTTATTTATTTATTTATTTATTTATTTATTTATTTATTTATTTATTTATTTATTTATTTATTTATTTATTTATTTATTTATTTATTTATTTATTTATTTATTTATTTATTTATTTATTTATTTATTTATTTATTTATTGATTTATTGATTTATTGATTTATTGATTTATTGATTTATTGATTTATTGATTTATTGATTTATTGATTTATTGATTTATTTATTTATTTATTTATTTATTTATTTATTTATTTATTTATTTATTTATTTATTTATTTATTTATTTATTTATTTATTTATTTATTTATTTATTTATTTATTTATTTATTTATTTATTTATTTATTTATTTATTTATTTATTTATTTTTTATTTTATTTTTTTTATTTTTTTATTTTTTTATTTTTTTATTTTTTTATTTTTTTATTTTTTTATTTTTTTATTTTTTTATTTTTTTTATTTTTTTATTTTTTTATGTTTTTATTTTTTTATTTATTATATATATTATGTATATGGTGTAAGTGGGTGTATTGTTATTTGAAAACTATTTTTTCTGCTTCCTTGCAATTTATAAATTTTCTACCACAGGTGCAATAACACAATGAATGCGCAAGAAATTATCTGCAGAAAGATCTTCAACTGTCTGACAGACAAAATACTGGTTGACTATGTAGTCAAAATCGAAGATGAAAACTTCGAATGTCACCGACTTATGTTAGCAGCATGTTCTGAATTTTTCAACGCGCTATTTCGTTCTGGTATGAAAGAAGCTAATGAGAACTTTTGTGTTTTAAATTATTTTTCTGGCGAAGTATTCCGAACGATTCTAAACGCACTTTATACTGGTGAAATAGTCTTAACTTTAGAAAATCTTTGTGAAATATGGAAAGCAGTAAATATGCTGCAAATTGGTTTTTTAGTTGAACGTTGTGAGGATTTTGCTTTTGATGCTATTACAATGGACACTTGGGAGGATATTTACATATATGCAAAACTTTTATGTTCAGAAAAAGTCATAAATCAGCTCCAGATATTTATGTTGAAAAACTTTGAAGAAATTAGACGTTCAACGGTATTTCTACAATTATCTTTTAATGAAGTCAAGGATCTGATAAAAAGCCAAGATTTAGTTGCCATCAAAGAAGATTTAGTTCTTGAGTCAGTAATCCAATGGGTCGACTACTCACCTGACATAGGTTCCGATAATAACTCGAGTATAGATGAACTTAAGAAAGTTGTTAGCAAAAGTGGAACTCAAAATGAATACAAATTCACTCAACTTGATTTGGATAAAATAATTTCTAATGAACCAATTTCCCACTGTGTAACTAAACATTCCACCAGAAGCGAAAAACTCACAAAACTGCTGAAGCAAGTGAGGACGTATCTAGTGAGTCCTGCTGTTTTAGTTCATGTGTACAAAATGGAATTATTGTCACACGACACTGCCTCAAAAGATTTAATTTTGAACGCTTTAAAAAGTCACGTGCAAGTCTACAGACACGGTCAGTGGCCAACAGCAGCTATCCACAGATCGTGTAGTGGTTACGTTCAAGCAGGGGTAATTTTCAGTAGTTATGAAGGCTTTTGCGTTCTAACCGCGGACGAGGAAGAGTGGTACTATATTTCTAAATGTGAATACCTAAAAAAAAATGTCCAACTCGTCTCTTTTAATGGAGAGCTCTACGCCACAGGAAGAAAAGCAGCCGTCCCATCTGAGCCGTGTAAGATGTTTGCATTCTGTTGCAACAGCTGGTATGAGCTGAAAGAAATGCCAAGCTACAATTTGCTATTAGTTTCACATGGAGAGTTTATTTACATCATAAACAAAGATGATCAAGCTATATGTAACATCAATCCAAAAGACTCAAGTCCTTGTATAAAACACGTTGCTGAATTTCCTGAAAGATTACACGTTACGCATGCATTGGTTATAGACAATTTTCTTTTATTATTTTGCTCTAAAAGTGAAGGCAGCATTATTCAGACATCCGTTTATCTATTTGATATTTTGTCAAAAGCTTGGACCCGACTAGAAAGCATCGATGGACCAGCAAAATATTTAATTAGTTTCAGAAAAGACCAACACAACTACATTATACAGCGCAACGGAAGTATTTGGCTGTTGCATTCGTCTGAAGACAGAAAAATTGAATTTAAATTCCTTAAAAAACTTTGTAATTTTGAGTTAGTACTATATGGTGCGTTGACTTATAAAAGGAAACTGATACTTAATGGACTACACCCTAAAGATGTACCTGTTGGAGTATTACAAACAGATGATGATGATGAAGAAGACCAAACAGATGACGATAGTATATCAGGTGAAATTCCTGGCCACTTTAAAACAGTTGGGTTAGTTGGTAATGGTGGAAAATGTTCAAATTTTATACCGATCACTATACCCGCGATTTATCTCAGCGAAGATACCTGGACATAATTAACCAGTGCTACTTATTGCATACTATTACAAATTATATATACATATAGGGGTCGTCCATAAATGACAACACACTCGTAGGGGGAAGGGGGGTCCATAATTTTGTGACCGTGTGTGATGAGGGGGAGGGGGGGAGGTTAAGATGGTGTGACGTCACACTTTTGCATTATAAAAAAGCAATGTTAGAAAACGAGTTCAGACAAGATTTTAGAAAAATATCGATGTTTAAAAAAAATTCAACTGGAATTGGGGGGGGGGGGGGGTTGTAGGCTGAGGTGTGACGTCATTTTAGGGAGGGGGTCTGGCTTTTTGTGACGACGTGTGACGGAAGGGAGGGGGAAGGTAAAAATCGTCAAAAAAGCGTGACGTCAGTTATAGATGACCCCATATATATATATATATATATATATATATATATATATATATATATATATATATATATATATATATATATATATATATATATATATATTTATATTTATATTTATATACATACAACATACGTTTTATGTCTCTTTTAGTCCAAATGTACGCACATGCATATTAATCCTTCTTACTTTTCTTGTTATATGCAAATTGCATGTTTAATTTCTATTATTCGTCCTTGAAATATATTTGGACATGTACATTTTCTACAAATGTATGGGCGAGACCAACTTAGCAATTATAAAGTATGCAATAGCTCTTAATAAATTGACAACACCAAAGTAAAATTTGTTATTGGGACTAGTCGAATAATAAACTATTTTCATCATACATACATCCTGAAATGTTTACTACAAATAATATACACGTTTTTAAGCATTCATGATTTGTAATACATGAGAACATTATATTTTAGAATTAGAAAATCAACAAGAAAGCATTTAACTTGTGTATTTGAAAAGATAATTATTTAAAATAACTTAGATGCTTTTGCACGAGAAAGAGATATAATAGAGTGACTAGTCTTTTTAAAAATCAACTAATACTTTTCTGGAAAATCTAAGAAGATAAACCTCTGAAAATAAAATCCCGTCTATTTTTATATAAATGCGGGAAAATTGTTAAATTTCCAATACATTCTATTCGCATGTGCCTAAATCGAGACACAGTTCCCATACATTTTTATATAAATATATATGTGTATGTTAGCCCAGTCCTGTGCGTGTTGCATTTAATATTTTACTTTATTTAAAATTATGCAGAATGATTACAGGATCCATTAAAGTATTTTTTTTATTACTAATTTCGTGTTCTCATTGTTGTTGTTATGTGATTACATCTCTTTGGAGATTATTGCAATTTAGGAAATTTTGTAATTCCTCTAATTATGTTTCGAGAAAATATTTGATCAAAATTATTCTATGTATTAATTTATGGCTGTAATAGTCAAATGGTAGAGCATGATTCCGCTTAGCGGCTTCCAGGCTTGAGTCTGTAGTCCAAAAATCTCTGATGGATACCTGATGGATACGTCTTGTATGCCGAAATCAATGTAAGAAATGATCTCTACTTTGTATGCCTCATGAGTCTTGGGCACAAACGTGAAATGAAAATGATAATAGCCAGTGTAAGCCAATAAACTAATTGGGTAAACACTGATTCATTTTTGTTGGTAAGCATGTAGAGGGGTTGGAAGCAGGCGTTGGTACTAATTACTAATGACACTTTCTTTTTAAATTGCCATTTTTGTAGGATTTTGTAAGACGTACGAGCAGCTATTTTACTATCCTCAATTTCAACGATAACATCAACCATAATCCCAACATTATTATTGCCGATGACTACAGAACTGGTACTGACGTTCGAACTAATTTAAACAGACAATGCGCTCTTTTTATTATAGTTTTTTTTAACACATCAATGAAGCATTTTTATCGGAAGTGATTTTAGAACGCACATTTTTATTTCCTCGTTCCCAAGTTAAAAAATCGTCAGACAATGGAGCTAAATATATATATATATATATATATATATATATATATATATATATATATATATATATATATATATATATATATATATATATATATATTTAAGAAAGAAAATGGAAATTCAGTTTTTTTCTACTGTTGAAATAAATAATAATTTCAAAAAGTCCCCCAGTCATTTCATAGTGTAGACAGTACGGGCAAGCCAATGAGAGAGTTAGCCTATAAATAAGGTGAACTTAGACTCTTTTGTGAGATACGACTTCTGGTACTCGTACATTTACATGTATCGCTAAATTCCCCAAATAACTGACTGGGAAAATCCCTACACCACTCCCAGAGACTTGCATTTTCCTTCTGTCTGCCCTCTCCAAAATTCCATCCTACTAAACATCCTTGATTACAAATGAGACTTTTTTTTATAACAAACCGTGGGCAGTGTTTTTACAACAAGATACGTTAAAAAACATTCAATGTTTTTCTGCTAGTTTTAACCTTAATGACATTTTGTTTGCTGATCTACTAACATTATAAGATTTGTGTTTGTCTGTCTGTCCTATCTTCCGTTGATTGGGCGTCCTGCACAGCTGGTCGGTGTTGCCAAGGTATAAAACTTCTGTAGCATTCTATGGTGATCGAGAAGGAAATTTTATTGTCTCTAATGGAATTTTTAAAACTAATTATTTGCTCATTATGATGATGTTATGAAATAAAATGTAGATTTGACCTTTGGGTCAGTAATATGGCCAGCTAAAACTGTATTTCAGGGAACTCATTGATCATTTTGCAAACTTCAAAACATGAAAAAGAAATCAAAACAAATCATAAGAATGTTTTAAAAATTGTGTTCCGTTAGTGATGACAAGGTCGGCGTCCCCAGTGTGCGTTTAGTGAAGGTGTCAGTCACCCCACCGCTTCCCCTCCCCTTCAACAATTTTGCATTTTCGGTTGGGTGTTACCCCTCTTTTCTTACTGATTTATTATTTTAACTGCATACATTTTTGACAGTACATTTTACAATTTTTTCGGCATGGTGTCACGACTAAATAATGTTACCCGATGCTGACCTCTCCTTTGCCTTGTTATGCAATGAATTTTACGTTAGAGGGGAAGTTTAAAATATAAAATGTACAATATTAAATCTCCGCCCTCGTAAGTAGCAGTCGATTTCTTAGATGTCCACGTTTAACTCTGTTGTTGTCTAGCGGCTGACGAAGGGGCCCACTGACTATTTTTGTACAGGGGCCCGAAAATCCTAGCTACGCCACTGCCTATGTATCTGGCCTTCACTATCCATCCTTAGGTCTATTCCCAGACTAACGTCGAATACAATAGGGTATCTCATTTCGTGTTTCCCTATATTTACATGACAGGACAATTGGGTGGGACTCAGGTCAAAGACCAGGCGACAGGTACTACCCCTAGCCTGTACATAGCTAGGTGGAATGGGGATGCAAATTACTCCCTGTCCCAATTCAGTCGGTGACGGTGGACGGTGGGGGAATGAGGAATACCCAACTAGTATCAGCAATAGACTCAGTTATAACAGTAATTAATTACATAGGGGTGGAGAGGGAACGCGGTAGCCATGCGACACTTAGTCCTAGACACACATTTTCAGAGAATTCCAGTAACCGAAAGTGGAACTTATTCTACTTTTTCAAAAGCCTGTAACTTGAGTACTGTTTTAGATAGAAAGATGAAATTTTACATTTAATTAAAATATCGAATTCTCTCTAATTTTGAGTAATTTTCGGTGACCGAAGTAGTATATATATTAGTATATATATATATATATATATATATATATATATATATATATATATATATATATATATATATATATATACAGTTACTATAATTAATTGGACTTAAGATGTCAGCATTAGTAGACAACCACATTTCATTAATAATACCTAAACTGTCTGTTTTAAAGATATAAGTCGCTACAATTAATGAAACAGGCTAAGATTAGTCAATAATGTTTTCCTGTTGTTGACCATCAGATTGTCAGTTAGACTCCTGATCAAGCTGTAAAAGAAATGTGGAAGGATAACAACTGCATTCGAGAACAGATTTGTGAAGCGTTGCCTTTGTATTATAACTGTGTAGCTATATTTTAATTCAAAGACTATTTTAAGCATTATACGTTTTTCCTTTAGATTGTTACACATAGGAAATCACTATTATTGTGAACTTCAAATGAAACGTCTTAAATCGCATTGATCAAATTTAAATTGATTTTATTTGTGGACTGAATCAACGGGGCGATTAGGCAATGTGTTTCGTCCTAAGCAATTAGGTACAACTAAATCCCATCTATACAGAGTGTAATTGTACGAACAGCGAGTTCTCTGTCTAACATTGCTGCAAAGGATATGGTTGGCTGACTTCAACAAATCTAAATAGAGGCATTTTAATCTCGGCAGTCCCAGATTTTGACATTCTACATTGTGGCTTAAATTTAGTTCAAGGGCTATAAAACTTATTTTACTAATATTTTTTTTCTGTTGAATGCTTTTCTCTACACTATGTGGAACGGCTTGACCGACATAAGGTCGCACAATATCTGATCAACAAGTTTCGAGTTTGATTCACGAAAAATAGTCCAGTAGAAATGGGTCTTAACATAAGTCATTAAAAATAAAAGCGCGTGGTGATAGTGCTGACCACACATTTAACTGTATATGTTAAGGTCAGTGAAACAGATGCACTTTATTTGCCCAATGCATCCTTTGATCCGACGAGGTACCTTTTTATATTTATATATTTTTTCTTTAATTATACGTGTAAGACAAGATTTTAAAGACAAGTAAATGATACGGTCGGTTAAATAAAGTTAATGTGCACAGCTGAATTCCTGTTTTTGTCGTACTGTCTAGGTATACGGTGTCCTACATTTAGTTCAAGGCCTTTGTAACTTTCTTTAGCAGATAACATTTTTTTTTCAGTTTCAAATTCTTGACTTCTTCTCTTAATGAATAAAAATATCGACTTAATGTACACATGTATGTTGATTTGTCAGCTGTGTGTCTTAAAGTTACCAATGCTTGAACAACATTTTGACCTATTATTTACACAATACAATTTTAGGCCTGGGATTACACTATTCTTTCGTGGGTGAACGCCTGAATTAAAGCGGTTAGGACCAGTGTTTCTTCCAGACTTTTTTTCTCCGGGGGGGGGGGGGGGCACATGAAATTTTCTTCGGGGGGGGGGGGGGTAGACTTTCTTCGGGGGGAAGGGGGGTGGACACTGTTAAAAGTATATATTTTCTATATAAATTTCATTTCGTTGGGGGGGGGGGGGGGGCGCGGTAGTTGTGGTGCATGGATCAGCGGTCGGCGTGGTCGAGTCGGTAAAGCTCATGATTGCTAAATCGAAAACTCTCGAGTTCGAAACCTCGGGTTAGCTGGGGACAGCCACTCATCTAGGATAGAAAACTCCAAAATAAAAAAACTGCTGCCTTGTAGTTTGTTCTTGGTTAGACAAATCGGAGTAAATGACCTGAATGCCGCATAACCAGTTGACACGTAATCCTTAATTGTGATGGAGGCGTGGTCGAGTCGGCAAAAGCTGATGACTGATACATTCAAAAAAATCTCGAGTTCAAACCCTCTGGCAGATAAGGCTCGAACCCTTCCAACACTAAAAATTAAGAATGAAGAAGAAGAAGAAGGTGCATGGATGAGTTGCTCACAGGGTTTCTGTTTTATATAAAACCAAAAACATAAGAACATAATCTTAACATGTCTTGCTATTCTGCGCTTGTAAAGCCAGAGACGAAAGCTTAAATGAAGAGAGCTAACATGTTTGCTGCTCGATAACGATGTGTTTGCTTTGCTGGTATCGCTGGCGTATACAAGTCTCAAATCGTTAAAATATCTTAACGCATATTCCCTAGCGTTACAGATGTTCCAATGAATATACTTAAATAACAAATTAGAGAAAATATTGTTATACCAACACGCTATGTTTAAAAAGGACAATACACGCTTCAAACTGTTAGTGGATCTAAATGTACAACGAAAAATCAATAAGTAAGGTGAACCAGGTGTGTAGTTTCAGTTTCGATTCGCAAGGTGATTCTAAAAATAGGACCACTAAGTGTGCTTGATCCGGTAAAACTGTGTCATAGAACATAGTAACGACAAAGCCTAGCAGACCGTAGAATTGAAGACGTGTACGAAGGTAAGTGGTGCTATTAATATAATGTTAAATGTTTAGGTTATATACAACTTATATATATATATATATATATATATATATATATATATATATATATATACTTCTAAGGCATGTATGTTCTTGATCAGATGAGTGCTACAGAAATATATACGGGAGTAATGAAATGTCTGGAGAATGTGTGGAAGGAAAATCAGCTGTTTGATACCACAGTCAAGATTGATGACGAGTCTATTAAATGTCATCGACTCATACTATGGGCATGTTCTGATTTCTTTCAAGCTCTTTTTCGTTCAGGTATGAGAGAAGTCACAGAGAACTGTGTAGTTTTACGTGATATTTCCGTGTCTGTGTTTAAGTTGGTTCTAAAGGCGATATACAGTGGTGAAGATATTTTAACACTGGACAATTTCATTGAAGTTTGGCGAGCTGTTCATCAGTTACAGATAAAGTTTATGATAACAATTTGTGAGACATTTGCCACAAAATCGATATCAGCAACTACCTGGGAGAAAATTTACAAAACAGCAAAACTTTTAAATTCCGAAACTGTAATGGGTGATTTATACAATTTTATGCTGATAAACTTTGACAATGTTTCTTTAACTTCAACATTTTTAATCCTCTCTTTTGAAGAAGTTTTGGATTTGATAAAAAGCCAGGATCTTGTAGCCAGTAGAGAAGATTTAGTACTGGAAGCTGTGATCAAATGGGTTCAGTATATCACGCCTTCAAGTGAAAATGAAGAAACACGAGAAACCGATGACATTGTTGAGAATAAAAGTGACAAATCGAACACGGATATTGAAAAAGATGTTGATATTAAATCTGAAGATCAATTGATTAGTATATTATATAGAAAATCTAAACTGGCTGAGCTTTTAACAGCTGTTCGAACGTGTTTAGTAAGTCCAACTTTATTACGACATATATTCAAACTTGAATTAATTTCTGAAGACAAGGATGCAAGAGAAATCATTTTCAACGCTTTATCATACCATGTCCAAGATTTTAGAGATGGTCAATGGTCATCTGCAGCTATACACAGGTCTTGTTATGGGTACATACAGTTTGGAGTATGGGCTAACAGTGATGGCACAATTCGTGTTATTGGTGCAGGCAATGAAAAACGGTATACTCCATCAAAAAGTAATTATTTACAGCGGGAAGTTAAATTAGTCGTTTTTGACAATGATCTATACGCTACTGGAATACAAGCTGTTAACAATCAAAATGTCATGTGCCGTTTGCTTGTTTTTTCTGAGGATACTTGGGTGGAAGTCATGCAAATGCCAGGCAGAGATTTACTTTTGGTTTCGCATGGGCAATGTATTTACATTTTAAACAGAAGTGATAATGTTATGTATAACATCAAGCCCAAACAGAGGACACCTAAATTAATAAAGTTTTCCGATGCACCTGCGAAAGTTAATGTCAAGCATGCTATGAGTTTAGCCAATTATATTTTAATATTCTGCTCCGTTACACAAAACGGTGTAGATGAGACGGCAGTTTACACGTTGGACGTTCATACCAAAGTTTGGACCAGATTAGATAATCTGGAGGGTCCAGCAGAACAGCTGATTAGTTTCAGAAATGACCGCAACAATTACATTTTACAGACCAATGGCAGTTTGTGGATGATAGAATATAAACATTCTTTAAAAACAGTGAATTTTAAGTATATTGTTAAGTTATGGAACTTTGATAAGAAGTTGTACGGAGCATTAACCTACAGAGATAAGCTGCTAATTTTTGGTAATAATCCTACTAAGGATCCAAAAAATGAAAAAATATTGTATAATGTTTCTGATCATTTTTTAACTGTTAGACATTGGGGATCTGATGATAACTGTTCTAATTTTATTCCTGTGACTCTACCTAATCGATCTCTGCTGCCAGACACATAAACATTTTTTTAAAATCATTTAATTTTTTTTTAAATTTTAACTGTAATAACATTGGTAATCAAATGTTTTGTGTTTTCATCCCAATAATAAAGTGTGGCTTATATCGTTATAAATTGTACCAATCACACATTCAGATACACGTTTTACGTTGCAATTTACTATTAGGTTTTGTTCATTTTATAGTAGATATACTATTTAATTAATGTGATTATTCGTCAGAAAATATAGAAAGAGTTTTTACGTGCAATTTACTATAATCGTACAGCATTTGTGTAAAACTATGTTTACAATAAATTATAGGTTCTACACAGCCACTTCAAATATTAAACTGTAAGTTATTTTGAAAGTTGTTATAGTGAACTTTAGAAAATAAACAAACTGAGGGTGTTGTTGTATATATCAGTGCGTATGTAAGTTATCTGAGCGTATTTTTAAATACTTCGAAATACATTTTACATGTTAAAAAAATGTAGTAGCTTGAGTTTTGGAACATTTTAATTTTAAATTGTATCGCCACTGTAGACAAATTACAAGCATTCTGAATTTTTATTAAATCTACAAAAAAATTAATAATAAAACATAATAATAATAAAAAAAAACATGATTTGTGTCTAGTGTTTATGGGTGCATCTGTGTGCTATTTAAATTAGAATGTTAGCAGTAATTTAATACCATTCTAGTATCCAGAATCAAATAATGTGTTTCAATGTTATGCACACCGACCCACACACTGTCAACGGGTACATTCAGGATATTCTGCAGTTGCCGTTTTACTTTGGTGAACTACTTACTTCGATTAATAGTTAAATCAATTAAATATATATTTAATATTGGGTTTGTAGTAGGAAGATTTATTTTTCTCTGCTTTAAAAATCGCCACTTTTAAATCAAATTTAAATACGATTGGAGTTTAATAATTATTTTAAAATGTTTGACAGGTTTTAGGTTTGGATCGTTATAAAATGTAATTTTTTGTGTCTTCTTTGAGGTGTCTCATACCATGACATTATTATGTATACTCAACTCAATCCTTGTGAAGTTTATACAACACATACACTTTTAATTCGGGATAATTTATTCTTGGCTCGTGAAAACTACCACTTTACACAGCTTGTTACTAAAATTAGAACGTGGTTGCCAATAAATAAATCTCTACTGCACAACACGGCGTCAGTTTCAGTTTCTACACATTACAGCACTAGAAGGGATATGTGACTTGTCATTCAGTGTCACAAAAGTGAGTAGAACGTTTTAGCTGAACAATCATACCGCTTTCGCTTGTATAGGTAAGTTTATATATCATGCTTTATATGTGAATTACACACATACATTAGCGTAACTATCTTTAGTGACACAGCGAAAAATCTTTATTTTGAGACTTGGGTGTAGCGATTACGATTAATATTAAAATAACAAATATAAATATTACTAAATAAATACTAAATAATAAATATAATTATAATTTTAAACAACCTGATACCTTTAACTCAAATTAGTTGGACGGAGTGGGGGTGGGGTTGGGGAGTGGGTTGTTGGGATAGAAGGGGACAGTTATTTCTTAGTGACTATTCTTCCCTCTAACATGAAAGTGACCTTTACTTCTAGGGCTTCTATTCTTATAATGTTAAGACATTTTTAAGAAACTAACACTGAAAACACCTTATCAATATTAGCAGTTTAGATTAGTTTTGATGTTTAACACTAGTTGTATTATGATGGAGTGACTAGTGAGATTGGGTGAGAAATACCTTAGTAGTCCATGGTTTGATACGATAATCAATAGGATTAATGCTTTTAACTAGGAAAGATAGAAATACAAATTTGTGACGTGGATTGTCTATAACAAAAATATGTGAAAGCACGGAGATAGTGTATGTTAGAGTAGCCTCCCCTTGTAAGTTGTGTGCTAGTGGGACAAAGTGTGTGAACGAGGCAGTGTGTGAAGCAATGTGGTGTGGCGGCAACATCAAGTACCACTCATCATATTTTCTTCTTGTAATTCGTTCTTGTGGTTTATGATAATTATACACCCATGATACAGATTCTCGTTGTGGATTGTATTTATTTACAATTGTTACACCTGGCCCAAACGAGCCCAAAATACATAATAAGCCGAGTGTAACAAATGCAAATATGTAAATAACTAAATAACACATGCTGTGTATTTTTAGTGTTCATTTTACTAGGTTTTTTTTCTCCAAATAAGTAAATTTATACAACATTTTTAAGTTTTATAAATCAATACTACAATAAGATTGTTTACGAAAATGTGAGTGATTTTTGGAGTGAGGTCCAGTGAATTAGCTCCACAAAACAAAGTCGATATTCACATTTAACTTATCTCGCTCTAAATATTAGAAAATATAATTATTTCTGTTTAAATTATCTCCACAGTTTAATTTAAAAGATGAGTTCAGCTGAGATGTGTACTGGGATTGTGAAATGTCTAGGAGATTTCTGGTCTAAAAAACAGCTGCTTGATTTCACTGTTAAAATCGATGATGTATCAATCGAATGTCATCGATTCATCATGGAAGCTTGCTCGGATTACTTTGAAGCACTTTTTCGTTCAGGTATGAGGGAAGTCAAAGAGAACTGTGTTGTTCTACAAGATGTATCGGTCACTGTGTTTGAGTTGATTCTTAATACATTATACACTGGCATAAATAGTTTAACGTTAGACAATTTTATAGAGGTTTGGCAAGCTGTTCACCGGCTACAGATTCGTTTTATGGTTACATGTTGTGAAAATTTTGCTATCAATTTCATTTCAACTGAAACATGGGAAAACATTTACAAAACAGCAAATCTTATAGAATCCGAAAATGTTCTTGGAAAACTTTACCTATTTATGTTAAAAAACTTTGAACAAATATGTCAATCAACAACATTTTTAAAGCTTCAATTTAATGAGATTCGTGATTTGATCAAAAGTCAAGATCTGGTAGTCAGGAGAGAAGATGTGGTACTGGAGTCTGTTATTAACTGGGTCGATAATGCTCAGGATATTAATAGTAGCAATGACTTATCAATCACACCGATTAATGATGAAACCAAAACGAACGATTTGGAGAATGAAAACAGTTTGAAAAATAAAGTTACAGATGAAGAAAGCTTGTGTTCTGGATTTTTAAATTTAAATAGCGAGCAACATCCGGATAAGACATTTGTCAGTAGCTGCTCTACCAGAAAAGAAAACCTGACTGGGCTTCTAAATCTGGTGAGAACATGTCTTGTAAATCCCACAGTTCTATCTCGTGTCTACAAGCTGAAACTAATTACAGAAAATGAAGATGCAAGAAACATAATTTTTAACCCGTGTCTATATCACGTAATAGATTATAGACACGGACAGTGGCATTCGGCTGCCGTCCATCGACATTGTGGTGAATATTATCATTGTGGAGTGTATGCAAATAGCAAAGGTGATTTGAAAGCATTGAACTCGGAAGACGAAGTATGGTACGGCATCAACAAATCCGCGCTTTTACAGCGAGCTATTCAATTGGTTGCTTTTGACAATGAGTTGTATGGTATTGGTGTGCAATCTGTTGATAGTCAGGGTGTTGTATGTCGATTGTGCGTGCTGTGTAACGATACTTGGGTTGAAGTTGTACAAATGCCAACTTGGAATGTGCTGTTAGTCTCACATGGGCATATTATTTTCGTTTTTAATAAAGACGATCGTATAATATACACTGTAAATCCTAAGACAAAACAATTGGACACATTCACAGATTATTCTGAAATAATTGATATCCAGCATGTGATGACAGTGGAACATTTTATTTTAGTGTTTGAATCTGTCGCCCAAAATGGTCTAGATGAAACAGCCGTTCATTTGTTGGATATTAATTCAAATGTTTGGACACGTTTGAATAATATTGATGGACCAGCGACGCAGATAATTAGTTTTAACAATGACCAAAACATTTACATCTTGCAGACGAATGGAAGTTTGTGGACGGTAAAACTCGTCAGGAATAGTATTGAATTTAAGTTTATAACAAAAATGTGGGATTTTGAAAAAAAGCTATTCGGTGCCCTGACCTACAATAACAAAGTTATTATTTTTGGAAACAGTCCGTTAAGTGATCCAACAAATGCGTTACATACTGTTTATGGTAACTTTAAAAAATTTAAACACTGGGGTGTTAAAAATTATTGTTCAAATTTTATCCCAATTACCTTAAAAAAGAAATGTTTGCTTCCCTTAGCAACGGCAACAATATTAAACCAAATAGATTAAAATGGTAATCATTCTTACAAATACTTTTAAACTCATTAAATTGAAATTCTATTTACATATTCGTTGAGCATTAGGGCACAAGACTTCAACATCGATAGTCCCTTTTAGAGTTTACTGAATTTGTCAAAGGTATCCAAGTTCACATAACTGATGAAAACCTAATTTAAGTTTGAGAAATTAGAGGCGGTTAGGCATAAAACTTGCAGCACTGTCTGTTTAGATGTCCAATTAAGCGCCAGTTCCAGAAATGTAACTTAAATTAAACGTAATGTTTTTGATGAATTAGTTATATAAATAAAAGTATATGTAAAATAATCAATAGACAACCATTCTTAATTCACTCAATAGATGTTTTATTAATTGTAAATGTGTGTAATTAATTATACATGTGTTTAATTAAGAGATTGTTACTGTTTCTGTTTGTAAATAACAAAGTTTAGAAAAAAAAATAATGTAACGTTATTTGTTGGTTGATATATTTTTGTTTTAAAAAAATAATACAACATTTTAAAATAAAACTTTGTTGTTGATTACAAAAATCTAATTTGTAAAAGCCATGTATATGTATATATATATATATATATAAATTAATACTCTTACATAGTGTAACTCTCGGAATAGCTACACGTTATTTTACAAACCATTGAAACAGTCTATTAAAACTGAAATAAATATTTATATGTAAACGGTGATAACGTTTCTTTTACGTACATATTATATATCATAGTTCCAGACGTATTCTAACATTTCATTAAATTCGTAATAAAGATGTTCTCATCTGATTTTTTTGCATTCGTTGTTTTTTTTTTTTATATTTAGACACAAATATAAGGATATTTTAAGATCGAAACACTTGCCTTGTTATATGTTGGAGTAGTCAATCTGTAAAACTAAATTAAATTAAAACCACACCAATGAACACATACAAAAATAATACAGCACTCCACATAAGCCTAGTTAAACACGCAAACATACTTGTATTTTAAATTGAAACTCAGATTTTAAACTGCAATTAATGTCAAAGGCTGCCTGGTTAGTTGAATGGTTATCTGGTTTTCTAGTTGTAATCAAATCTTTTAATACAATCTTGATCCGTTTCCAAGTTCATAAATTCAATAAAAAAAACGAGAGATAAGTGAAAGCTATCTCTAAATTAGTCTAACAAGATCATGATATTGAATGTTGAATCCGTGTGCCAACCACCAATGATGAAAAATAGGAGATAATTATTATCCTGAAGATTAAATAGTTGGCGATCTATTTATAATGTTTATAAACGACCAGCAACGGGCAGGGATAGAAGCAAGAGCGAGGATAGCCCGGGGTCAAATCGCGTACGGCCCCTGGCTCGGGTTAATCATCGAATGCCGTGTGCCGCCTAGTCAATATCGTAGAATGCTCCTTAAAACTAACGTAGGTGCTATGGTACGCGCCTGATTGAATTTAGTGAGCGACTATAACGCCCCATCGTATCAAGTGTCTATCGCACTGGTTAGAACGAACGTAAGCGTCATGAATTATATGCTATTGGGACTAAAATCCGATATTCCGCTAATGCAGTTTGCCTTATGCTTTATTTTTCTAAATAGAAGTGATAAAGCTAGTTACAGTATAAACCAAAACAGAAATTTCCAAACTTTAATAATGTTTCTGAAATTCCTAATGAAGTTTAAGTCAAATATGTTATAACGTTTTAAATCAATGTGCACACTGCAAATAAAATATATTTTCCAAAATTAAAAAAAAAATTGTTTTAATTCGATTAATTTTAATGACTTGAAAATAATAAATAGAGGAAAAAAACGTAGGTTAACTTTTATGTTAGAATAATATGTTGTTCGAACACACCAAGCTCCAATGCGTGTGACAGCATTCATCAAATACAATTTAATTACAAGTACATCACTTTCAGTATTCCTATACGCGGCTGGCTTTTATTTACCTCTTTATTGTACAACCAGTAATATTGCCGTTGCTAAAACAAATATCTCATCAGCAAAGAAGCAGTTGCATTTTCTACTGGAGAATACAATTCCAAGAATAAAACTGATTTTTTTTTACTGCAGCAGGGTTAGCTACTCATACAAAGCATGTTCATCTCGCTTCGTTGTTAGGGTAAGTCTGTTTGAATTTGTATTATTCTTAAAATCTAAACTTCACTTAGGGTACACTTTCTTCTCCCACGAGAAAAATTCGGTAGGTTTCTGTATAAAGAGTTTTAATGGAAACAAAAGGAGTTACGCACTATCAAGCTTGTTATTTCATGCATAATATACAACTCATTTTAAAAAGTAATTGAACTTTCAGTATGATTAGTCACATTCAATGCAAATATTTTTTTTGTTTTTATGCAATGATTACACAATAACAAAGGATAAAAGCCTGAAGGGATGTATGCAGAATTATTTAGATTTATGTTCGTTATTTGGTTAAATAAATACGTTAGTGAATTAATATTGTGAACATGTTTTTACTAGATTTGTTGAACGCTTGTGAGACCTACTTGATCAATAGAAGTGCTGCTTTATAATGATTTTACGGATCGATTTTGTGTTGATCGAAAGTCATTGATTTATCGATTTAGCGATATAGCGCGTAGTAATATATTATAACCCATTTCCCATTGAGAGAAGTGACTTAGGCCTGTAAACATGTTCTTATCTCTGTTCAAGTTGTATTTTTCATACACCGCACCTTAAGGAAGGTATTATAAAAGACTGAACGAACATGATATATATATATATATATATATATATATATATATATATATATATATATATATATATAACATGTTTATTAAATTTGTAAATCAAATACTTATAAGCAGAGAGACAAGCATTATAGGTTTTAGTATTGTGAATATCTAGTCACTATCTTAAAGCTGTATTTTTTTATTATGTAATTATGTATCTATTTATTGATTTTTTTAAGCTTCTAAGAATGAAGTCTTCGAAGGTCTGTTTAGAGATTGTAACTTGTCTGGAGAACTTTTGGTCACAAGAACAACTATTTGACCTAACCGTTCTAATCGATGGCGAATCAATTCCATGTCATCGTTTTCTATTGTGTGCATGTTCGGATTTCTTTCAAGCTGTTTACCGTTCCGGAATGAGAGAGGTAAAAGATAACTGTGTTGTGTTAAAAGACATTTCGGCTCCTGTGTTTAATTTAATTCTAAAGGAGATTTACACAGGTGTGGATATTTTAACTGTAGATAACTTGATCCAAGTTTGGCGAGCCGTTCATCAGTTACAGATTCCGTTTATGGTCAAGTTTTGTGAAGATTTTGCAATGAGCTCCTTGTCAAGTTATACATGGGAAGCTATTCATCAAACAGCATACCTACTAGATTCCGAATCTGTTATTTTAGGGTTGCATACATATATGCTTAGAAACTTTGATCTAGTTTGCATAACTCCAACGTTCTTGAAACTTCCTTATGAGAAAGTTAAAGAGTTTGTTGCAAGCCAAGATCTCGTTGTTAGTTCGGAGGACGTGGTTTTAGAATCCGTGCAAAAATGGACCGAATGGGATCTTAGCAACGAGAAAAAGCAAAAGAAATGTAAAAAACATAAACAAAAGATAGGAACAGCAAACACAATAAGCGATGAACAACGCAGCGATATGAGAAAACAGAAATTTACAGATCTGTTGAAGTTGGTGAGAACGTGTCTTGTAAATCCAACAGTACTCATGAATATTTATAATAGTAAATTAATTTCTAAGAATAATGACGCGAGAGACATAATTGTTAATGCTTTGTCTTATCGTGTCCTCGATAACAGACATGGGCATTGGCCGTCATCGGCCATACACAGAGAATGCAGTGAGTATTCAAACTTTGGTGTTTATGCCTGTGACAATGGACAGTTTAAAGTGCTGAAAATGTCTAATAAAAAAAGGCATACGGTTATTTATGATAACAGTAATTTACGTTATAATGTGAAGCTAGTTGCTTTCGATAGTGAAATGTATGCCATAGGACTAGACGCGGTGGTAAATGTCGCACGGAGACGTTGTCGAATGTTTGTGTTGTGTGATGAAAGATGGACGCAGCTGATTGATATGCCGAGCAACGATGTACTTCTAGCTGCACATGGAAAGTTTATTTACATTTTTGATAGAATTAACAGAGAGGTTTATAATATTAATCCTAAATCGGTTACCTTGAAATTAATTATATACAACGAGTTTCCAGAAAACGCATCCGTCAGACACGCTTCAGTTTTTGAAAATTTTATTTTATTATTTTGCGCTGAAACAAACAATGGCGTTGCTGAGACTGCTATATATAGGAATAGTATTCCGTCCAGCGTTTGGACCAGATTAGACAATTTAGATGGGCCAGCAGATAATATAATCACTTTCAGAAATGACACAGACTGCTTTATTCTCCAGGCAAACGGTAACTTATGGAAAATATCGAATGTAGAATCTCGAAGAAAAATTGACTTTACATTTATTCTTAAACTGTGGGGTCAATGTAACCTATTACAGGGTGCTATACCCTACAATGATAAACTTGTCATTGCATTTGGTTCCCATAGAACACTGCCGATGAAAAATTGGCTGCCATCAGTTCCTGAATACTTTACCAGAATAGAACAAATCGTATTTGATGATATAGTTTCTAACTTCATACCGATTGTATTACCAAATGAATATCTGCGTGATTATTAGAATTGTGAGTATAGTTTCTAGCTAATAAATACATTGTATTTTTTTTAATTTGATTTTGCTTGACTATTATTGTCTTTAGAGTAATATTATTTTTCCTGATATGTATGTATATTTTTGTCTCTAGACAATATACTTTCTAAATATGTTTAAATATGATTCTTATAATACAATACGCCATTTTAAACTGCTAACATGAGCGATATGGTCTAATTCACGGGTTCCCAACCTGGGGGTCGCGAATGCCTTTCTGGGGGGCGCCAACTGATATACTAAACCTTAGTAATGAGAAACAAAACATAAATATTTAGAAAAATATCTGAAATTTGGCTTTACTAACATCACTGGAAATGGAATAGGGAAGAGGCCTTGCGTACTATACAAAATTGTTCTCAGTCACGAGTTTATGAAATCTCCAAAACTTAAACGTCATTTGAGATATGGAGGTCTTTCGTCGGCATGAAGCTAGTTGCAAACGTCAGAGACTTGATCGAACAGGAAGTTTTCACCAAGGAAACACAGCATTAGTGCAAGCATCAAATGATGGTGCGATAGAAATTGCCAAGCAAAAAAAAAAGCACAATAGGAGAACATCTCATCAAACGCTGCATGTTGAAGATGGTGAAGTTAATTCTTGGGAATTCCAGTGCAGTAAAGATGCAACAAATATCTCTGCCTAGTAATACTAATAAATAAAAATGTTATAATGAAATCAAGCTTTAAACCGTTGTTTGCTTTTCAAGTTGATAAATCAACAGACGTGAGTTCGTGTTCGCTGTTGCTAGTCATATATTCATTCATATGTTAGCAAGGAAGAGTTGCTATTTTGTGAAGATAGCATGGAGAAAATGAATGCGTTTTATAAAACTGGATGATTAAAATGGGTTAAAACGGCTGTGGGGGTTTGTACGAATGGTGTGCCATCTATGTTTAGGTCAAAGTCGGGCTTTCAGAAAACAGAAAATATTTAGCTCCCTAACCACTGCCCTCGCCATCAAGACTCCATTGGTTGAAAAAGTCATAATTTATATTAAATCTGGAGCCTGCAAAGAACTTAGCAAATACAGGATTAAAGATCACGAGGTTCGGCTTTTCTACACTACAGTACGCTGGCTGTCAAACGAAATGTTGTGCATCGTGTTTTTGAATTGAAATCTGAAATAAAACTGTTCTTGGAAGTGCAAACGAATCAAAACCTTTTAGTATACTTAAAACGACATAGAGTAGTTGGAGAGCGTATCATACCTAGCAGATATATTCGAACATCAACATAAGCTTAAGCCGAAGCTTCAGGAAAAATGAAAGAATATTATCACTTTCCATGATAATCTCGGGGCATTTTTATCAAAGCTGCAAAATTGGCGAAGGAAATAAATCTAAGAAATATTGTAAAATTGAGAAACTCTGCAGTGTGGTAGATGAATCTGATAGTGAGATAATTAAATTTTTGAAAGAAGCAATTTCTGGGCATCTTGAATCTCTTGTAAACGAACTGCAGCGCTATTTCTATGAGCTGAAAAAAAGAAGAATCTGCATTGACACATTACCCATTCTCTGCTTCCTTTGATTTTGCCAGCGTTCCCGATGAATTAGAAGATGAATTCTTTGATTTGCAGAATGATTTCGCGTAATATGAAAAACTGCACACAATTTTGGTGTAGTATTCACCATTCATACCCAAACGTAAAATTGATTGACTTTTCGAGAATATATTTTCAACACTATTCTCCGATTAAAAACATAATTAAGAAATAAATTGAATGTTGATGATGACATAGGTTGGCATTAACAAAAACGTAACCGCGAATGTTTAGTAAATAGGATGCAATTTTACTCATGGTATTACAACAGATATCAAGAGTAGTTCATATTGAAAGTCTACTAGCAAATCTTATTTTAGTGCTTGTTAATTTCCATACTAATTTCGGCTTTTTAATTCTATGGGGGCGCGGGCCACATACATTTTATAAAAGGGGGTCGCCACTCGAAAAGGTTTGGGAACCACTGGTCTAATTCAAAGATATAAAATGTAAGTTTCATGACTCTATTCCTTATCACCGTTTGTAGAAACATTTTTTTCAAACAGTTAATAAAATATTTAAGACTGACAATTAAGTTAACATTAAAAAGAAATAAAATAATTGCGCGCAATAACAGTTTTGATATCCGTAATGTGTTTCTTGAAGCATGTTTTACTGTATTTTTGTATTTCCAACGAAACGTTTAAAAAGCGTCTGTGTAATAAAAAAATGTCTGATCTTTTCTTAGTCTTAATAAAATTCTAATAAGGATGTTTTTGTTTATCCTATGTTTGTAATTTTCAGCTAAAGTTAAAGACCTATTTAAAACATTATTAAAGCTGTATAGTGTTTCATGACTTTCGTAGAATTATTGTCATTTTTAGATTTTGAAGGGTTATATCATGTCTTTAATTCATAATTAATTTATAATTTTGTCGAACTTAAACCTTAGATACATTTTTATAATGCCAGGCTAAATAAAATGTTTTGGTTTTTTTTATTTCAACACGTTCTGTGATATATGTATTATATTATTAGTTGCAAATTTGTATTTAATTTATAAAACATTATTTTTGTTATATGCTAAGAAAATATCTTAATAACAGACTTTAATTATTATATGTTTAAAGCCAAAAATTAATTTATAACACTTGTGACATATAATTCGTAAATTCTTTGTAGAATTTGCCAAAAATCCAAATTGTTTAAAATGGATCTGGTGTATATAAGAGCAACATTTTGAAAATTATTTAAAAGCATTGAAAATATAAATCTATGAGACCTCCATGTTCATTAAAAGTAGTTAATGAATAGATAAGATTGTCATTTTCATTCTCTTTCTAAAAATTTATTTAATAAAATTTTAATATATATATAATTTAATTCTTTAGTTGTACTTCTAAATATGTGTTTAGACATTCACATTGCAATTATAAAGTAAGAATATAGCCTACTTTAGCTAACAAATTATTATCTTTTAAAATAATTCGCTTGGTATGGATTCACTTACAAAATATTATTAAATCGAATAAAAGGGAGGTAAGTTTTGATTACTTTTTTAAAAAAAAACACATATTAAGTTACTTCCCTTATAGCCTATTTACAAGTAATTAATTTTAGCATGATACTGTATTTAGAGACCCAGCTCTAAAGGGTACCTGACTTACCATAGGGAAAAAATGGCGCACTGACGAGCGTATCCCCTCGTATACCGAGGTTATTGAAACAGGGATATTAATCTTTATCTGCTCCTTGTGTCTTGGGCATGAACTGTAAAAAGTCAGGCGCTTATTGGCTTACCTACCACGCGTTTAAATCAGTTGCGGAACTAGAAAAAAAGGGCCACTCCGCAAAAAAATTTATTGAGCCCCCCACCCCCCCCCCGTAAATATATATATATATATATATATATATATATATATATATATATATATATATATATATATATATATATATATATATATATATATATATACAAACACGAAATACGAACATGTTATAGCCTACTCATTGCTGGCCTGTTCGCGCTTTGAAAAAAAAATGTTTTTATTTTTAATTAAAACAAGTTACTACGTCATGTCATATGTGTAAGTGCATTGGTGTTTTGAGAAAATAGTTTTTTTTTATCTATGCTATAGGGCCTCCAAACATTTAGTAAGCCAAAAGAATATAAAATGTGAAAATTTTGTAGAAGTAATGGTGTCTTGTGTTTTGATTATTTTTATGGTTTTTTTTTTGGTATTTATATTATTAATGTAGAATACATTTCTTTTTTGTACAATGTCATTCTTTAGTAAGTACTTTATAAATAAACCGGGAGTGATCTCCCCTAAACTTTCTCGAATATTCTAATATAACACTACGGGGGATGGCAACTCGGGATATAGACTTCTAGACATGATTTTTAATCCATATTAAATACTCAAACTTTTAAAAATAGAATATAATCTCGTAGAAAAAAGAAATGCACACCAAGTGAACGCTAAATAAAGATGTGCATAATAGTGCGCAATATTATTAGTTTTTTACTTTCTCGTATATACGAAGTATAGAGAAAGTCTTGTAATCGTGCAAAAAAAAATCGAGATTTTTGCAAATCTCGACGTTTTGCATCTCACTGATACGGAAAAACATAATTTTGCAATCTTGTCCGTATGTCTGTGTGTGTGTGTGTGTGTGTGTGTGTGTGTCCGTGTGTAAACACGATAACTTGAGTACCGTTACAGCTAGGTTGATGAAATTTCATATATAAGTATTTAATCAAAATCGTAGATCCGTATCAACTTTTGAGCGATTTCCGATAACCGGAAGTGGTACTTTTCCTACTTTGAATTTTTCAAAAGCCTATAACTTGAGTACTATTTCAGATAGACTTTCTCTATACTTCGTATATACGAGAAAGTAAAAATGATAAGTAAGAGAAGTAATTGCTTTTAATGTGTTTAGTACAAATCTATTAAAAGGAGCTTATGATAACCCCTATTTGACTATTTAAAAAAGGAAATAAGTCATGGAAGTGGTTTGAACGTTTGCTTATCTTTGTTAATTTTAATGAACCTTTATTTGAGTGGCTGCCGGTCACGTGACCAGGTTATTTACTATCAGCTTCCCCGCACTACCGATTAAGACTTAACAGTGATGGATTTTATAATTCAACTAGCTTCTAGATTATTTAGGTTTAGTTTATATTCAACTATTAAAACATTTAGCTGCCACAAAATAGAATCTAGATCTAGGTTCTAACACCAGTCTAGATTCTAGACTAGTTCTAGATTTAACGACATCGTTGTCCGCTCAGAACAACTTTGTGAATGGGTTTTGTTTTGTATTTCATCTAATCTAAAATCTAGATTATTTACATCTAGATCACATTTAGCGCTTAAATGTAGTAATTTTGTTCAAGTAAAATAGTACTAAACAGTTGAAAATGGGTTAGATCAATATTAAATATGATTTTTGTCCTGAGTGTTAGATTTAGATCTA